AATTTTATACGAAAAATACGCAGCGAATAATGTACAAATTCACCACTTACTCAAATCCGAAAGACTATCAGAATACCAATCACGACACCTCCTCGAAGTCACTTGGGATTCCTATATAATATATACAAATAACCATCAATATAGACATCCTACCAAATACTAATGACATATAATAATCTCTGTACATCTATGACATATAATAATCTCTGTACATTAATAGTTTACTTAACTCTACTAGCTTTTCTTTTAAAGACCATATCTTGCAACTTTGCTGCAGTAAAAGACGTGGTAGTTCATGGCAAAGAAGATCAACAAGAAGAGTCTGTAGGTATTTTCCTTTTTTTTATAAATTTATTTTCATAATCATGGTTTAAAATCATTATAACTATTTTTTTGCTCACAGGCTAATACAAAAGCTGAAAACTATTGCTCATGCTTTCTCCTACCGCCTGACATTATTGTTGATATACTATCAAGATTACCAGCAAAGTCTATAACCACTTGACCCAAATAAATTAATATAATGAATGGTTAGATCAATGTGCAAACTTCTGCATAAACATATTCCTAAAGATAGTATAACAAGATATACCTATGAATTTTAGCCAACTCTGGGGGCAATGCAATTTTGTATGCTACAGCTCCAACCCTCTCCAAAATCTCAAAAGGTCCAATATATCTCGGACTTAACTTGCCCTTTCTTCCAAATCTCATCACTCCCTTAGTAGGTGATACTCTAAGGAAAATATGATCGCCAACTTCAAACTCTAACTTTCTTCTTCTATTATCGGCATAGCTCTTCTGCCTGCTCTGAGCTATACGAAGTCTATCACATATCTGTTGAATCTTCTCAGTGGTAATCTGTACTATCTCAAGACCGAGCAGCCTTCTTTCTCCTACCTGATCCCAACAAATAGGTGATCTATATCTCCTACTATACAGTGCTTCATAAGGGGACATATCAATACTGGAGTGATAGCTATTGTTATATGCAAACTCCACCAAAGGCAAATGTTTTTCCCAGCTACCCTTCAATTCCAAAACACAAGCACGAAGCATATCCTCCAATGTCTGGATAGTCCTCTCCGATTGCCCGTCCGTCTGCGGATGATAAGATGTGCTAAAACCCAATTGTGTTCCCAGAGCATTATTCAGACCTTGCCAAAATCTAGAACGAAATCTCGAATCTCTATCTGATATAATAGTCACTGGTATCCCATGCAATCTCACAATCTCCTTAACATATAATTCAGCAAGCTTCTCAAGAGAATGAGTAGTTTTACAAGGCAAGAAATGAGCCGATTTAGTAAGTCGATCAACAATCACCCATATAGTGTCATTACCACTCTGACTCCTAGGAAAACCAGTCACAAAATCCATTGTTACCTCCTCCCACTTCCACACAGGAATTGGGAGAGGCTTAAGTAGTCCGCCAGGCTTCTGATGTTCAATCTTGACTTGTTGGCACACCAAGCACTTAGACACAAATTCTGCAATATCTCGCTTCATGTCATTCCACCAAAATGTTTCTCGAAAATCTCTATACATCTTCGTTGATCCAAGATGAATTGTAAATGCCGAACAGTGCGCCTCTTCTAGAACTTCTTTCTTCAACTCCAGATTATTAGGTACACATAAACGGTTTTTAAATCTCAAAGCTCCATCATGAACTACAAAATCATGTTGAAGTCCCTGTTCCACATCTGCTTTAATTTTTAAAAGAACTGGATCATCACTTTGTGCAGCCACAAGCCTGTCAATCAAAGCAGGCTGAATTTTAAGATGAGCAAATATCACTCCAGATCCTCGAAGTCGAATATCAATATCAAGCCTCCTCAAGTCCTCCAACATATGCTTTTGATTTGTGATCAAAGCAGCCACACTAGCATTGGACTTCCTACTCAAAGCATCAGCTACCACATTTGCTTGCCGGGATGATAATGAATATTAAGATCATAATCCTTCATTAACTCCAACCATCGCCTTTGTCTCATATTTAACTCCTTAAGTGTGAAAATGTATTTAAGGCTCTTATGATCAGTGTAGATGTCACAAGTCTCCCCGTACAAATAATGTCGCCAAATCTTCAATACAAAGATAACAGCAGCTAACTCTAAATCATGAGTTGGATAGTTCTTTTCATAAGGTTTAAGCTGTCTGGAGGCATATGCTACTACTTTCCCATTCTGCATAAGAACACAACCGAGGCCAATATGAGAAGCATCACTGTATATCACAAATCCACCTGATCCAGAAGGAATCGTGAGTATAGGTGCAGACACTAATCGATCCTTTAACTCCTGGTAGCTCTGCTCACACTTCTCTGTCCACTGAAACTTGACCCCTTTCTGAGTCAATCGAGTCAAAGGTGCTACAATGCGGGAAAATCCCTCGATAAACCTTCTATAGTAACCAGCCAATCCCAGAAAGCTTCGTATCTCGGTCACGGTGCTAGGTCTCTTCCAATCAACAATTGCTTCTATCTTTGAAGGATCCACTGACACCCCTTCTTTAGAAATAACATGCCCCAAGAATGAGACACTCTCCAACCAGAATTCACACTTTTTCAATTTTGCATACAATTTATGCTCCAAAAGTAATTGCAAAATAGTTCTTAAGTGTTCTTCGTGTTCCTCCCAGCTTCTCGAGTAGATCAAAATATCATCAATAAAAACAACTACAAACTGGTCGAGTAAGACTTAAATACCCTATTCATCAAATCCATAAAAGCAGCTGGAGCATTTGTCAATCCAAATGGCATCACCAAGAATTCATAGTGTCCATATCTTGTTCTAAATAAAGTCTTCGAAACATCTTCAGGCTTAATCTTGAGCTGGTGATAACCAGACCGAAGGTCAATCTTTGAGAACACCTGGGCTCCCTTCAACTGATCAAATAAATCATCAATCCGAGGGCAAGGATATTTTTTCTTCACAGTCACCCTGTTCAATTCTTGGTAATCTATACAAAGTCTCATGCTCCCATCTTTCTTCTTCACAAAAAGTACTGGAGCACCCCAAGGAGATACACTCGGCTTGATGAAGCCCTTATCTAACAACTCCTGCAATTGAGTCATCAACTCCCTCATCTCTACTGGTGCCATGCGATAAGGTGCTTTTGAGATCGGCCCTGTTCCTGGAATTAAATCAATAGCGAACTCAATCTCCCTGTTAGGTGGTAGCCCTGGCAAGTCTTCAGGAAAAACATCAGGGTATTCTCGAACAATTGGAATTTCATCCAAAGTCTTCAGGAAAAACATCAGGGTATTCTCGAACAATTGGAATTTCATCCAAAATGACTTCATTCTTCTCGGTACAAACCACACTAGCAAGATAACCACGACAACCTTTTCTTAGAAGTCTACAGGCTCGCATAGCTGAAATAACACATGGAGGTACACTAACACTCGATCCCTCGAAACAAAACTCGGACTCCCCAGGAATTCTGAATGAAACTCGCTTCTGAAAACAATCTAGAGATGCATGATAAGTAGAAAGCCAATCCATGCCAAGAATAACATCAAAGTCATGAATATCAAGTAACACAAGACTCGCAAGTAAAGTTCGATCTCCCACTATGACCTCACATCCCTTAAAGATGTGATTAGTGATCATACAATCACCGGATGGGGTGGAAACTGATAGCTCAGATTCTAAGAATTCTGGAGTTTTATCCAACTTACTAGCAAAGCTATGAGATATAAACGAATGAGAAGAACCAGAATCAAACAACACATGTGCGAGATGAGAGGAAATAACAAGTGCACCTGCAACAACAGAGTTAGATGCGAGAGCATCCTGCTTCGTCAAGGCAAATACTCTCCCTTGTGTCTTAGATTTCTGACCATCACTAGGTGTAGGCTTCGGGTCCCTTCTTTGCTGGACAATCTCTCATAATATGGCCCTGTTGGCCACACTCAAAACAACCTCGGAATAAAGAACAAACACGGCCTTTGTGATTTTTGCCGCATTTATAACACTGTCCATCATGCCTCTGAATAGGAGGACCTGATCTCTGCACAAACTGGCCCGATCTCTGTACTGGAGCTCCTGACCCTCGAAATGCTGGCTTCTTAAAAGGCTTAAAAGTTGACTTATCTTTCTGATTATTCTCATCCCTGTTCTGTTTCTTCTGGTCCCAGCTTTTGTTTGGTTCATCTGCAATCTTTTCTCCCTTACTTGCTTTTTCAGCCCTTTTTGCTCGCTCCACTGCCTCCTCAAAAGTCTTTGACATAACTACTATAACCTTTTGATGAATTTCTGGCCTCAGTCCATTCTCAAACATCTCTATCTTATCAAATTCTTCTACAACTAGCTCAGGTGCATATCGAGATAACTCATTAAACTTGGCTTCATATTCTTCCACTGTCATATCATCCTGCTGCAATTCCATAAGCTCCCTCTTCTTGCGAGATTGAACATACAAGGGAAAATATTTCTCCCTAAATAATTTAACAAATGTGCTCCAAGGAACATCCTCCCCCTCGAACATACAAGGGAAAATATTTCTCCCTAAATAATTTAACAAATGTGCTCCAAGGAACATCCTCCCCCTCAAGTGATAAACTAGCCTCCTTAGTCCCTAAATAATTTAACAAATGTGCTCCAAGGAACATCCTCCCCCTCAAGTGATAAACTAGCCTCCTTAGTGTTGCAGATCTCTGCCTGTCCTTCTAGCATAAATGTAGCATAAATAACTTTTTGTTCCTCTGAACATCCCAAGGCTCTGAAGTACTTATCTATTTTCTTTAGCCATTCCTGTGGCACCGTTGGATCAGAACCTCCCTGAAAAGATGGTGGTGACATCTTCTTAAATTTTTCAAAGTCACTGCCAATAGATTTAGTCTTCTTCTGTGTATTTAATGCTTCGCTCAGCTTCTCAGTTGCCTCTGACTGCTTTTCAAGGATCTCCATTTGCCTCTCCATGAAACCACTCTACATCTCAATAAAACTGGCGAGTCCTTCAACACCCCACTGAGCTCCAGCAATCCCTCTCGTAGTCCTAGCAGTACGAGTAGCCATACCCCCACGAGTTCTGGGTCCTGATCTTCCCCTGACATTCTCATCAGGAGCCTCATTTGTAACATTAGGGGTCTTGATGTTTTGTCGTCCTGCATCATCATTTCCACCAACCCTAGTCCGGGGACGCCTACTTGATTGGGGTATATTCGAAGGTAGCGCAACCCCCGCATTAGCATCAAGTCTAGGAGAAGAGCGCCTCGCTGCAACACTAGAACCTCTCTTACCACGAGCCATCTCAATCTAACATTATCAGAAACAAATATATTTAGTACAAAATATTCATCATATTAATTATTATTAAATCAATTCATAACATATTCATCACAAGCATAAGTAATCAAATAATATTTTTCATGAAATACATACACTAGTCATACCTTAAACTACCCAGACTAAAGTCTTTTACCTTTAAGAAAACAAAACTAAAGAGATTACATGATCCATGATTCTAAGCTTATATACTCCTATATCCGAAATTTGATCTGATAATGTTCATATGTCCTCGACCACACTTCAAAATAAATTATTATATTCCATTATTATATTTCATCATCATTATTACTTCCTCTAACTGTAACTAGGACCTACAGCCTAAGCTCTAATACCATTCTGTCACGACCCCAATTTCCGAACCTTAAAGGAATATTAGAGACGGACTAAACTTGTGAAAAGTCCTCCAAAATATACATTCATTAAAAGAACACTAAAACAAATCTCTTCATTGAACTAAAACCAACAATAATTCTTCTCTATAATCCCAAAAGTCAACTAAGCCAATTAACTTGATAAAAATAAATATTCCTCAACTCCAAATAAATCTCAACCTAAAGAAAGAATCTCATTATTACAAACTCTCAATTCATCATCTAAACATTAAAGACTTTATTTAACCTTCACCTAGAAGACAATAACAATCTCGAATTATTCTTTGCTTCGTTCTAAGAATTTGACAATCCTCAATTCCACCTAATCCCGAGTCTCTGAAAAGAATAGAAATAACACAATGAGTTCACAACTCAATAAGTGGATAAATTCATACATTAAACACTGGTTTTGCAAAACTAAAATATTACAACGAGAAATAAACAAAATATAAAAATGATATAGAATCATTAATGAACTCTAGTATTTGATACAAATATTTAAGAAAATTAGAAATCATGGAATAGAAATAAGCATGCTACGTCTCAATGCGGTCAACACTTCATACTCCGGTTGACTCGGTAAACCCCACAATTATTAAGCCCGTGGTTCCGGGACGGTGAGACCCAATTTGGGCTCTTAGCGCTAAAATAAAACCTCATAGAGGCACATTGAGTCCTGTTTTAATAGCTTGCTTATATCCGACATATACCGGTATATTGACTTGAGATGCATATGCTTTAAGAATAAACAAAGTTCGTAAAGCTAATCACATTATACAAATATGCCAAAGGCCAACCAATAGTGAAATAAATCAAACACATATGCATCTCAACCTACCACTATATGAATAGACATAACAATTGATAAAGAAAATAAGCATAGGCTTATACCAAAATATCCATGAGCATCACAAAATCAAACCAATCAACAAACTTTGAATTCATTATACTTCACTTATATGATGATATTTATGTGTTTGTGCTAATGGATCATCTATTCGTGCTTTATAATGTATTCTATGAGTGGTTTGATCAAGTCTTACAAAAGAATTTTTTTGTTGATCAAACATCATTTTTGTTTTAAATGGTTGATTTATGATTTCATTTGGTTGATTTGTTTTCATTCGAAAACTCTTTTTGCATGATTCTCATGTTTTCTCTCTTTGGATTTCATAAATCTATTTTTTATACATAAGTTTTTAGGCTTGTATTTTTGAGACACCTATTTATCGTAACATATCATTATGTGTTCTCATTATCTCTTGGATGTGAGTGATTTTTGGCATATTATTTATGCATGCTCACATATGTTTGCCATGATATTCATTTCATATATTCCATATGGCATTTTGATAGGGGGGGCAATCCCTATATCTTTTTATGTTTGATACTCACCCGTGCTTATTGATAGGGGGAGCTTTCGCTCTCTTAATCCTTTTGTCCCCTTTTTGATGTTGTCAAAGGGGGAGAAATATTGTGAGTATATTCTTTCTTGTTTATATGCATGATATATTATACATTGTATGTTCATTTCCTTTCATGCATATATCCTTTTTGTAAATTGTTTGTCATCATCAAAAAGGGGGAGATTGTTGGGCTTCTTGTTTTGATGATGTTTAACAAACAATTTACCACTAATGTTGTTTGTCTAATATTTGTGTTTTCGTATTTATTGTAGACAAACAACGTTGTTGGAGGATGGATGGAATAGCGCTTCAACGACGATATCAAATGGAGGTTGGCGGAATGTCGGTGAAGCCTTGCTATTCAAAGTTCAAGATCCAAGTTAAAGCTTCATCCGCGAGATTACCTAGAAGAGCTTATTGAAGATCAAGATCTAGCTTGGGTAATTTAGTTTAGGATTTATATTATGTGTGTTAAGTACTCTAAGCTCAATTATCTATACACACACATTTTATTAGTTTCCTTGTATATATATGTAATCACATATATATACAACACAAGTTTTGGTTTTCAAGTTTATAAATATGAAATTACATATTTCATATTTATTATTGTGATTTTTCTATTGTGTTTTTGAAAACATTGCATAGAATATGTAATTTTGTGAAAATATTGTATTCTTAGTTTGTAGACTTCAATATCAGTTTATACATGTTTTACTAAGTCTATAAAAACATTTCACAAAGTTTCAAAAGTTGGTTTATGTCAAAACATCAAAATTCAAGTATCTCACATTTTCATGTTTTGAACTATTTTGTAAAATGAGATTTGAGACCCGTCCCCTATTCCTCCGGATTTAAGCTTGGTCTTAAACCCCGAGAAGAGCCGTGGTTTTTCTTAGTCAAAATCACTGCTACTGTAATTACTTCCTTCCTGAAGTGAGAGCATTGATCATCCAACTTTTGCTAACCGGATCTGATCTGCGGCGGTCCACGGATATTAAAGTCCCCAGCAATAGGCAAAGATCACACGCAAGCAGCTGGTGATAAACGTCCGTTGCACTGTTTGACAAGAGTTGTAATCTTTAGTTTCATTGTATAATGGAGATCTTATAAAAAGATCAACTTTTTATTTGAGTTTATTGTAATGACCAAAGTTGTAATAGATTCGATGACAATGAAAACATCAACTTTTGACCCAAACATACACTACGAGCTGGATGACTCCATCTCCTCCATCACATGGATTGGACCGAATATGAGCGTTCATCGTCTTAAAGTCCAATACTAATATCTCTATCAGCATGTGTGTCACTAAGTCGTGCCTGCTTGCAAGCTCCACTTAATCTGGCACTGTCCTCCTCGAGTCTACACACTAACCAACTACTGCTCCCGTGATGACTCTAAATAATTATATATTGACAACTCTACTGCTAGAGTCACGTTTAATTCTCTACACTAGTCGCATCATTCGCATACTTATTTGACCTATCTTTCATCAGATCTGTCTCATTAACACTATCATAAATATTCAGCACTTTTTGACTAATCTGAGCATAATCTGAAAAATCAGACCCTTCGATCGTGTTCAAAACCTAGGAATCGACTTCTAGCTCGCCAAAATCTGCCTCTAAATTTTTAATCAAAAGACAAATCAATCTACACCATCGGATTTAATTTAGTAGTTTGTAAACATCCTCACCCACGTAAACAGTGTTCCCGTTGCGGCTACAGTATTTCCTGCTATAGTATCTTTTTTCCTCTTCATTTTGATTCTTGTAACGCCGCCGATCTTCACTTTTGTACGGCGCCTATCTTGCGAACATGCTCCTGGCGTTGGGTTTCATGTTTATGAGCCTACCATCTAATCTAGTTTTGATGATTAACAAATAATTCCTAACATCAGTTGTTGAGTATTTTCATTTGATTGTTTTGTATCCTACACAAAGATCCTAAGTTGGAGGTTGGATGGAATTGAGCTTAACGACGATGTCTTGGATGTTGGAAGAAATTGGAATGAATCCATTGCAATTCTAGTCTAAGACACATTATTGCTTCATCCATACTACGAAGTTGAGAATTGTCCAAGAACAAACGTCATGAGATCATTTAGATTAGATATATTAGTTTAGGTGTATATACTTTGTGTTTTATAATTAGAGCTCAAAATTCATACACACACATTTGTTTTGATTTATTGTTATTTTGGATTATAGACTTAACGATACCTTTTGATATCTTTTCTCAAGTCTATTAATCTATTGGAAAGTATTTCAAAACTTGTTTGGAATAGTTTCATCAAAATCAAGTTTTGACGTTTTTGTATTTTGAACCGGTTTGCAAAATAAATACGTTTTCACAAATGAAAAATGCAATTTTATAAATTCTTTTTCAAACATATTTATTTTCACGTTAATAAATAT